AAACCACAAACCATAGCTTACAATAATAGCATCCACACAATATGCTAAATCCAGAATCAACCAAACATGTGAAACCTATAAATAAGTCTCTCTTATCCAAATTAAAAGATCACTTCAGGGGAAGGGATTGCTGACTCTTGTGTAATTGACAACATTCTTTTTGCTTGGCTTTGATCTAATTGAAACCTTCTACCTGACCTCATTCAAAGTGAGATTCCAGGGATTTCACCTACAACCTTCTATATGCAAATGCCCCCCCCCCCATGAGCATTACTAGTTGGGGTGTTTGTACTTAGTAAAATAATTGCAATAGGAAGTTGTGGAACCTCTTTATAAAGCAGGATCTAAGGTCAGGGATTTGCCAATGGGCAATTTCCATTTCTGATAGAATGGAGACATTTGGAGTTCAATATCTGGAAGGCAACTTGTGTCCACCCCTGATCTAGGAAGGAAAAAGAAAAAGTTTCCTTCTAATCAAGCTCAGGTAATGGACAATGTTTAATTAGCCACAGAGAGCTGCAAAACACATGGTAGAACCTCGTTGCAAAACTGGTATTTTAAGACCCTTATCATGAATTAATTAATTTAGAAGGCCATACAACTCCAAAACACTGGGTGGTGTACAGCATTAAAAATAGTAACAAAACAAGGAAAACAAGGAAAAATCACCCAATGTACAACCAGACACACAGTCCTAACAGATAACATCCTATAAAAGACTCAACATCCATCTCAACCTAAGGCCTGGAAAACAGCCAGGTTTTCAAGGACTTCTTAAACAATATCAAGATGGAAGCCATACAAGGAGAGAATTTGTCATTTGGGGATATTATTTTAAATAAGGCTATTCTTTTTTTAAAAAAAAATGGTGTGTCATACTTCTTGAAGTCTTCATCTATTTTACTACCTGTTTTACTATCTTAAAACAGACAAAATGAAAACATTAGTAAAGATACCATGGACTGGGAGGTGGACCCAGAAGCTACACACAAGACCTCAAGAGATACATATGGTTTATGGTTGCCAATTCCAAGATTAGAAAAACAACAGTGTTGTCAGTTTCACACTTTCTTAAAGCAGAATCTAATAGAAATCTAGATTCATAATATTTATTCTCTATAACTTTGGGAAGACTTCTTGTCCCTAAATATCTCCAAATTGTATGTCTCAATTAACCTGTTCATTATTCCCATTTGAGGATTGAAAGAACAAAGAATTTTATGAAGAAATGGAGAATTAAGTGTAATGTAGAGGACAACACTTGAAGGCTAGGTTTCAAATCTCCTTTCAGGCATGAGGCAATCCTCTTATTCAACAAAATAGCTAGCTAAGCAACCTCCAATAAAAAAGGATTTTTATGGCACCCTGAAACACGTTATAGCTGTTAATAATGTGAAGGTGTTGCGTTCTCAAGTTTTAAAGATGAATATTCAAAAGCAAGGCCAAGTTAATACTTTGTTCTCAGCAAAAGTACAATGGGCAATATTATTCCTTCTAGAAAATGCAAGCTCTTATTGGCTCTTGGGACAACTGACTTCAAGATTCAATAAACAAACTGGCTTTGGAGCTGTTTTTCCCACAGCATTGAAGCTCCTTTCAAAGTGGATCACAAAAATACAAAATACCAATAAATAATCATTATATACATCAATAAAATAATGACCAAAATATAGGCTAAACTAGGGCCAGGCAAGTGGCTTGGCTGTTGTGTCCATGAAGTTCCTTCAGAAAGGAACAGCCTGGATCCTACAGCCAGGATGACTAAGGAGTGAGAAAACAATGACAACATCCGGTTGCTCTCCTTGGAAAACAGTTCAGTTTCAGCTAGCTAGGTCACCATCCCTAGCTTGAAACTCCTACCCTCACTTGCCTCTTCAGGTTTCCCTGATAGTCTTCTTAGAACTGCAAGGTAGCTTTTTCTCCAGCCTCCACCTTGGCCATGTAGGAGAAGGTGAAGCAAGAGGGGAGGAAGGAGGTGTGGATAGAGCAGATAAGATATAGCTGGTTTAACCAGGGGAAGATGAATGAGATGAAGGCAATTCTCACAGCAATCACAGCAATTTCACTATAATTCAGGGTGAGGGCCAGCAGACTTTCTCTTCCCAATGGTCTTCTTTGCCATGTTCTGATTTTATTAAGCTTGTGATCAAGAATGTCATTATCTTGTCAGATTGCCTCTTCTTTTTTAACCAGTCAATGAAAGTCGAAGGTTGCTAGGCCTTCCCTTTCAGGAAAAAGTAAATCCAAAGTAGAAATCAAGATGAAAGGATGTTGTAAATGAAACCTGAGTTGGCAAATAAACTAAGCTCATCACCAATGCAAATGTACTATTCACATCAGGGAACATGAATTAATAGCAGACTTTGCACATCTATAATTTTTTGCTGCGGCACATGCATATCCTTGTGCAAGAAAGCAAATCATTCTTTTAATTCTGCAGCCTTGACTTCATGCATTATGTTGTGTATATAATATATTATATTATCAACAGAAGAATGAACACTTGGACATGACTCTGGAAGGATTTATACATAGATGTCCATTTTGCATTGTTTAAATATATGTTCTCCATTTTGTTCTGGCAATCGTTCCTCTTCTATTTACCTTCTTTTGCCTATTAATCTGTTTCTTCCATCTTCACTAACCACAAAGATTCTTGTTGATCTCTGTTCATTCTTATTTTCACAATTGTAAAAGTGTTTTCCATTGAGGCCTCTCAGATTGCAATCGTATGAATAAAATATAAGCCATGCCTCATTTCTGAGACACCTGCAGTTCTAGATCAAGATCTGTCTTGAAAAATATTTAGTGCTGCTGCTCCATAAATGCTGATTCTACTCATTTCTTTTGCAACTTGTTGGGGTATTTTCATTTTACATGATCTGTGAAAGGTAGTCCTAGCATTGCTAACCTCTTGCCTTGACCATGTCCCTATGGCCTTCAACACTAGCAGGGTAACGTTGTTTTGTGAAAAATGTTGCAGCTTTGGTAGAACAATTACTGGCCAGATCACAATCTCACATCACATCATGATTGTCATATGACTGTAACATAACAGTACTGAAGAATCAACATGAACCATTTTAAAAATGAAACATGCTGGGGGCTCAACAGAGAACAGAGAAACATGCTTCCTTTAACAAGGACAGGAAATTTGAGGTATTCCAACTATTCTGAAGCAGTTGATTATCTCTGGAGAACATTGGGTTGCCTGTCCCTCTAAAAGATTATATATTTTTTTTAAAAAAGAGACTTGCTTTGTTCATTTCTATTCTGCTTTTCTTCCAAGGAGCCCAGGATAGCACCTATACTCTCTGCCATTAGTTCATCCTAACCCCAAGATACCAAATAATTTTTCTCCATTCCTTCTAAATCTGGCTTTTGCTTTTTGTGATCTTAGGCCTCTTGGAATCTTCTGCATATAAAGGGACGGGACCTAGGGAACGACCCCAACATCTTCTGCATGTAAAACAGCAGCTCCAGCATTAAGCTACGGTTTTCCTCGCCTTTGGAGAAAGAAAACTTCACCTGGCCTGTGCAGTCTCGTGGGCAGCTTGAAGAGTATTCTCAGCATAAATGCAATGCAGAAGAGAAAGGACAACCAACCCCTGTTCCCAACAGCATGTCTTTCCCGTGTCATCAAATCCAGCTGCAAGTGAGGCCCACAAATGGTAAATTACTTTGTGAATTTTTTTGTTCTCTTTGAAAAAAGTTTATTTCAACTTTATTTTATTTTGTAAACAGGTTGATCCTTAGCACTATGAAGTTTGGTGGAAAAATGAGATCAGTCAAACGAGTACAATTTTAAATAAAATCAATAAAAAACCAATCAATCAAATGAAAGATTTGCCTTCAGAAGTTGTGGGTGCTCCGTCACTGGAGGGTTTTAAGAAGAGACTGGACAGCCACTTGCCTGAAATTGTATAAGGTTTCCTGCCTGAGCAGGGGGTTGGACTAGAAGACCTCTAAGGTCCCTTCCAACTCTGTTCTGATTGATCAATCGATTGATTGATTTGGTAGAGTAAGCCCACTATTGTTTTGCCTTGTTATAGTCAAGCAAGTCATCCTCAAAATACCACCTCAGCTTTCCCTTAATATCTCCCAGATGTGTGGATTATAAAGGGCAACACTGACTAGTGGACGATGGGACGGTGGTCCCACACATCTGAAAAGCATCAGGTGATGCATAATTGTCTTGAGGTATGTTTTCATTAGTATATCCATAAGCACAAATGCACCATCCATGAGGGGAAATAACAGACATCTTCATGATACTAGCAAGAATCTAATTTTATGATCTCATTCACATATCATCCAACAGGCAGAACACATCCATGTCTTTTGGAGGTTTTCCCTCCGGCTCCCACCTGTATTTTTCAGCAGGTTGGGTTTTTTTAACCAATTTGGTGCTTTCAGATGTGATGAATACAATTCTGCCCATCCCTAGCCTTCACAGGATTTGCAGTTTCCATCCTTTCCAAGCATATGAAATCACATTTACCTGGAGAACACCTGGCTGGGAAGATTTCTCCAAGTATTGGGACAACAGGCAGATTTTTTTTTTTTTTTGGCCCTGTTTTCCTTCCTGCTTTGAGTCTTGGTGCTGAGAAGAAGCTTCATAAACTAAATTACTGTCTAATTGCCCATTGTTTAAAGGGATATAAATTTCTGTGGCTGGTTTCATACCACGTGAAGGAGAAAAGGCTAGAAGTAGAAATCATGTATGACTATAACAAGAGGCCACCGTAAGCAAAACGATGAGAAAGAAAGCAAATTCTAACAAATACCTCTGAAAAAGTCTATTTCTCAGTATCATTTTCAGATAAAATTGTTCTGGGGTACACACTTACCTGAATACTACACAGTGTATATTCAGCTTCCAAACACCAAAACCCACATCCCATGAGAAGGAGTGCTATAATGGAGCACACACTGCGTAAGATCAGAGGCCCTCTTGCTGATATCCTCCTAGGCAACTGAGCCCTTCACTCATGACCTACCTTTTCTTTTGGGATGCTGGTTGTGGGCCTCCACCCTCCACGGCGGCGCTTGGACTTTGGGGCAAGGGGTACCTGGGCTGTCTTGGCGTTGAGGTGTTGGGTGATCTTGACTTCTACTGCCAGCTTGACGTTGGTGCGGAGGTTCCTCCTCTCAAAGACTTTCTTGCACTGGGGGCAAGATACCACCCGAGGGCCATTCTCCTTTGTGGCCTCCACATCCCAGTAGCGAGTGATACAAGCCCGGCAATAGCTGTGGTCACAGTCGAGGATCACTGGGTCCTTAAAGTGACCCCTGCAGGCCGGGCAGATAGCTGCTCTCTGCAGCTCAGCCACCAGCCCTTTGCTTTCCATGCTGCACGACTGTGTCATCCTTCGGCTTCTGTGTTCTGGTGCCAGCTCAACACCTCAAGCCTCTATATAGGCAGGGAGGAGACCAGAGGCAGGTTGGGGAGGAGCCTCTGTCCGGCAACAGGTAAACAGCCTTGCATAACGATCCAGTTCTTCCACTCCAGGGACTTGTGCCAAAACGTGGCAGGCAGGAACTGCCGCTGGGGTAGTAGACAAGTCTGTTTTGCTGTTAGAAAATATCACGCCGTGTGATAAGTTACAGCTGCGGGCAGGGTGGGGTGTGCAGAGCCTCGGGTTCATTTTGTTTTGATTTCTGACCCCTGCGAGGGCCAGCTGATCTTCTCCCTGCATCGCGGAGTTTTGCAGGTCTGCTCCAGTCTGCTCTATCCATCTCCATTGCTCTGCCAAGAAGCCCTTTAACACCAACTCGATGGCGAACCCGAATGCTGCAGCTCCTGAGATACATTCTGAAGCATTCAGAACGTGTCGAAAGCTCCTGTCCCTACTTGGTACCCTTCAGACGTGCTGGGATGGCAATTCCCAACATTTCTGGACTCGCCAACATCTTCATTTGTTGTAAGAACTATGTTTGATAGGATTCTTCTTTTAACAGTTATCTAACCATCCCTCTTAGCTATCGGGCTTTAGAGAAAACAGAAATGATCAGAGAAAAAAGAATATTAGCAGAATGAAACTTCCTTTTTTCACTTGGAAGCCATGAATGATAATATGATACAGAATTGTCTTCCCTAATCACTGTGACGTGTTGTGATGTTGTGATGTGATGTGTTGCTGTTTTGGAGGACATCAGGCAGGGAAAGACCCCAAAGCTCAAGGTTTTCTCTCTCTCTCTCTCTCTGTCTCTCTCTCTCGCTCTTGCTCTTGCTCTCTCTCTTTCTCTGTGTTTGTGTGAAATTACACCTCTGAAAAAATGTTGCAGCTACAGACTTCCCCATCAGGTAAAACTGCCCCTGATCATCCAAAGAAACAGAAGTGATGAGAATTGTGGCTACACCCTGCAGCGCAATCTGATATCGTTCTAGGAACATTGATGGCACCACCAACAAGCCACACCTAAGGTAGGTCTTTTCCCCTCCCTTGTCAAATTCTTGTGTTTCTCCCCAGCCATTTGGCAATTGCTGTATTGTTTGTTCCGCCTATAGTATGTTCTGAATTCAATAGTACAGTTTGAAGGATATGCAATTCAGCAGTATGGAATTTTCTCTTTGGAACAAGAGCTCCTTAAAACATTCTGGTGTTTGTTGTTCCACACTTCTATTTTCTGCCCTTTCTGGTTTCTGTTATAAGCAACAAAGTCTTGCTCTTCCGAATCTGCTCCCTTCTTTGCCATCTCCTGTTCTTGAAATGTGGGTTCCATTATTCGTTTTTCCCCCCTTATGCCTTGAACCCCTTTCCAAAACACCCCCTCTCTTCCTGTGATTCCTCTTCTCAACATAGGTAGCCTTTGACTTATAAGCCACAGTTGGGACCAGAATTTCCATTGCTAAGCAAGGGACGTGTTAAGTGAGTCAGGCCTGATTTTGTTACCATTTTGTGCCACCGTTGTTAAGTCAATCACTGAGGCTGCTAAGCGAATCCCAAGGTCATTAAATGGATCTAGATTCACCCACAGAAATGTCAGAAGCCAGCTGGGAAGGTTGCAGATGGCCAGGATGCTGCAACCATTGTCAACACATGTCAGTTGCCAAGCAACCAAATATTGATCATGTGACTGTAGGCATGCTGTGACAGTTATAATGGGGGGAAAAAATGAGAAACACAGAAAGAGACAGTCACAAAATCACACGATGCAGTTTGGGAACCAGTTGTTCTGTCTCCTCGCCACTTGGTCTTTTTCTTCTTCTGGTTCTTTTCTGGAACCTGCTGCCCGATTATTCGAACAAGATCATGGAAGGCTTTGTCAACATTCAATGGAGGATCCTTAGCACTAGTTTCTATATATGGAATATATTGTGCTTGGCTACTGTTCTGTCTTTAATTACTGGCTCTGAATATAAAGACAGACAGGCCAAACTCTACAAAGGCTTCCATACAAAGTTTATTTATTGGGTCACAAGGCATTCTCAAGATATAACTCACAGTTATGTTGAGATCTTAATGTCCAAATCTTTGCATAGCTGACTTCATAGTGTAAAAGCATAGTGATCTTTCATCCCATAACGATGGAGCAAGGGGTGAGACACCAGCACGCTTGCTGGGATCCAAGCAGGAGTAAAGGAAACTCCCTCAACCCAACCAAGGGTCAATTCAGTGACCAATCAGGGTTACAGATGTGACCACAACATGAACTACATTTCCCAGGATGCATTAACTACATTTACCATGAGGCATTCCCTTAAGGGGACAGCTCCCAATTCTGACATAAGTATCTTAATTCCCATTACCTATATACTGTCTGGACAGCACATTTCTTTCCCTTGGTCCTGGGTGATTCTTATCAAATGCATTAGGTCAACTTTGTTGGCCACTAAAATAATTGGAAAAGATTCTCCATCCTTAACTCGGAGAATGAGTTGATGGAACCTATCCACATGTTTAAAGCTGGCTTTATCTATGACTGAATAGACTAAAAGAAAGCCATCTCCCGTCCTCATGTCCTGCTCTCTCATTGCACTGAATTCTTCTTGACCAGCAGTGTCCAGGACACCCAGAATCGCCCATTGCCCATCTATCTCTGGTGTGAAGACCAGTTATGCCACTTTTTTTCAGTGACATTGTAACTTTGAACAGTCGCTAAATGAATGATTATAAGTCAAGGACTACCTGTAATCCTTAGGTTAACTTTGGCTGAGACATTGTCTTCCCAGACTACCAAAGCATGGCTGATTTGGTTTATTTTGCTCACATCCAGCTCTTGATCCAGACTTCCCAACCTGCTTGCCCTCCAGATGAGTGAACTTTGAAACTCCCAGAATTCCCCAGCTGGAAAGAATTCTAGACATGGAGATCTGTACATGGGGAAGCCAATCAGGTTGGTGGGGAAGGCTATTCTTGGCTCATGTTCGTTAGCGGTATTTTAGGTTTGGGGGCAGCGCTTCCTATTCTTGCTGAGATTTCTCCTCTGATGCACCTAGAGGTTTTGGCCTACCTTGGGCCAGTTCTACTACAGGTAGACCTTGATTTGCAACCACAATTCAACCCTACATTTCTCATTTGTTAAATGAGTTTTGCCCCATTGTATGACCTTTCTTGACACAGTTGTTACATGAATTACCACAGTTTTATGTATTTTATTATTTATTTATTTATTTTGTCAAGCGATTATAAGATTACAGGTATAAGTATAAACATACTTATGAGTACACGAAATGGATACATATAAGAACAATAAAAAGAAACAATAGGACAGGGACGGTAGGCACGTTGGTGCGCTTATGCATGCCCCCTACAGACTACCTGTATTTGGCAGCGTGACACTTTGCCTTCATTGGCAACTGAGACATCCCTCTGCTATTTCTTCTGAGTACTCACATCATAGAGCTCACTCTTAAGCTAGTCTGCTTCCCTTAAGTAAAAGGAATTATGTTTCCTCATCAGTCCTGCCAGTCCATTAAGTTTCTGCATATCATTGTTTCTCAACTTTATGACCTGTATGGATTTCCAACTCCCAGAATTTGGCAGGGGAATTTTGAGAGTTGAACTCCACCCAGCTTAAAATTCCCAAGTCTGAGAAACTATGTTCTACACAGACTGGAAGAAGATCCCATGTTACAGAACATACCTGTGACATTCCAGATTTCTTTTTGTTCCCAAGATGGGAAGGGAAATGGGAAGGGAAGAGGAAGAGGAAGAGAAGAGAAGAGTGGCATTGGGAAGTTAGGTGGGATAGTCTCTAAATATCCCTTTTAGTAATTGGTATGTGCATATTAATGTGCGATAAAGTGCAATATTAATGCAATATTGGGTTTTCAATTCAACCGTATAGAATGTAAAAGAGGTGTGTTTGTGTTTTATTTTTATAATGTACACTGAATATAGCATTTAATTTCATCATACGAGGTGCAATGACAACAAACTAAACTAACTAAACTAACTAAACTAAACTAACTAAACTGAACTGAACTGAACTAAACTAAACTAAACTAAACTAAACTAAACTAAACTAAACTAAACTAAAC